ACCCTCCAGCAAACCAAAGTATTTAAAAAAGATATTTTACCCTTTAAAAAGGGTTTGTCCAATCCAGAAAGTCCATGCATTGTTTCTTCATCCCAGGCAGGAGTTTACAGAAAGTTCTTGACTTGCCCTTTGACCAGCATACCATGTTTTTTTCATTTATTTTAGTAGTCCTAGTAGAAACCAAATTTTGTTTGCTATGTTCCATGCCATATGGGGCACAAAAGAACCTACTGGGACCCAAAGTACTCTCACTGATCCTATAACCTCTCCTAAAAACATTGGCTTATACCTGGTTATCTGTAGACAACAGGCTACAACTTGTTGTCACAGGGTCAGCATGATTTCTTAGTCATTTATGAAGCAAGCAAAGAACTTAAGAGATTTGGTTAATAATAATAATAAGGTCCTGGATCATAGCAAATGTCTGAGGAAGAGCTCCATTTACTTTGGCGTTAATATGTACACTTCAACCTGATTTTTCCCCCCGATAATTCTGGTGCATCTTCTGCTTTTCCAATGTTTTGTTTGCTAAATGTGGAACCCAGGATAAATGTTACATACATTCTGGTCCTCCCTTCACCCTCATTAGATTTCCCACTTGTCTATTTTACTCTTCTCCTTGCCCATCATTTTCTTAATTAATATCAGTTTGTGATGTGGTGGTTTAGTGGTTAAGACACCAATTCTGATGATTGGAAGGTTGGCAGTTCGAGGCCCAGGTGCTGCATCATGAGGTGACCTCCTGTCACTAGTTCTAGCTTCTGCCAACCTAGCAGTTCAAAAGCATGCAAATGCAAGTAGATAAATAAGTACTACTTCAGTGGGAAGGTAACAGTTTTTGCTATAGTCATGTTTGGCACATGACCACCAGAGTAATCCTTGGACAACGCCGTCTCTTTGGCTTAGTAACAGAGATGAGCACCACCCCCTATAGTTGGTTACTACTAGACATTCACGTCAAGGGACTACCTTTGCCTTATGGTTATCATCCTCCTATGTCCCTTAAACACTATATTCCCACCCACGTCCCCAAAATTTGTTGTCTCAATCTAAATATTCATATCCTTTTGGCAGTAAAACTGCATATTTGACTACTATAGGCTTCAGCTTATGTTACTGTCAGTTTTCCCCCAGTTCACTATAACTATTAGGCTTTTAGTTTTTAATTTAAGATCCTGTTTTGTATATTATGCATGATTAAACACATGGAGATGAGTACACATATTAATAGCATTTCCAAGTGTATTTTGAACACATAGCAGCCCTGTGTTGGAAGAGCAAAGAATGCCTTTCATTGCACTATGGAGTCTTAAACAAAACCAGGGTCACACCTCAGTGTCTGCTGCTCTTATGCTGCTCTTTCTTAATAAGAATGTAGTATAAGTTAGAAACCACACAATTGCAAAATTAAGCCAAAGATCCTTTTGTACTTTTCCTAACACTTGACAGAATTTTCAACCAATCGCTGAATATGATATTGTTTTATTTTCTCTACTTCTAAAAGTAGTATCTGTCTAAAATCACAGACCTATTCAAAGTTATTTATGTCTGATGTTCTTCCCATTTTCTATTTAAGATTACTTCAGAATCTAAAGTCATCATTTTTATAGTTCTCTTCTTATTCTTCTGCATGAATAGTCTTTTATGCCTCATTTCCTCTTATTACATGCTAAATCTTGCTTGGAACATCATAATTAATCATTTCTAATCAGCAGCAATGTCCCAGGTATTTCAAAATTCTTGGCTGTCAGAAGCATTCCTTCTAGGCTCTAACTGTGATGATCAGCCTCCCTCGCAGGGATAAGTGAACACTAGAGCTCTCTGGAGTTAAGATTATTATGGCCAGATGAAGGAGGGGTGCTGCAAGCCAGTTCAGGAAAGTCTGATCTCAAATCACAGACTACCTCATTCAGACTTCTCCTGACAAGGACAAGGACATTTCTTCTCTCTGGAGCAACATAGCTAAAGATAATACAGATACCACTACCATATTCCTTCAGTATATACTTGCTTGCCTGGATAAGTGCTGCTCTTGTGGTTGCACTTACAAAGTTAAGAAAACAATAGATCAGTCAACAAAGGATATTAGCTTAGAGCATGTACATACCCTCTTTATGCATCCACATTAAGCTTTAAGCTATTTATCCATGAAATATTTAAAAAGTGTAGTCTCTAAAGGATAACAGATATGGAGAAGTGACAATGGCATTAATAAACTTGATGCCTTTTCTGTGAAAAGTGATGTCAGAGATACGGGTAAAGTTTCTGCTTCTTTTGAAAATGTTTCATATTTTCATGAATCATAGTCCTTATGCTCTCCTCGCGCTCTCTGATTGTTTTAGTATGGGGACCATAAAATTTTAATTCTTGCAAATAAAGCTTCCCCAAAACCCAAACCAGCTTCAGTAGTGGTTGAATAGAACCTGTATCTTTTCTTTGGGGAAAAGCATTCACACAATGTAGGACAAATCTACATTTTTGATGACTTGATACAAATAAGAATGGCTATTTTAAAGAGCTTTGCACCTAGTATCATAGAATCTTAAAGATGGAAGGGATCACAAACGTACTCTTAATTCCTGCCTTGCAAGAATAGACAACTACAGCATCCCTGAAAGATGCCCATCCAACATCTGTTTGAAGACCTCAAAAGATCTAGCCCTGTTCCCAGTTGCAGTCTGTTCTCTACTGTCCAACAGCTCTGACAGTAAAGATTTCTTTCCTAATCTTCAGGTGCAATCTCTTTTCTTATTATCTATGGGCCTTTGCAGACTGCCAGAAATAATGCAAATTGAGTCCACTTTAACTGCCCTGACTCAGTGCTAGGGAATCATGGGAACTGTAGTTTATTGTGGCACCAGAGCTCTCTGACAGAGAAGGCTCAATGTCTCAGAAAAAAATACAATTCCCATGATTTCCCAGCACTGAGCCACGGCAGTTAAAGTGGACTCAATTTGCACTATTTCTAGCAGTCTGCAAAGGCCCTAAGTAACTTTTACAAGTCCCTTGGAAGGCAGGAAAGTACGGTCCTCACATTGCAGATAGACAGCTGGATCTGAGAGATATGCACTTATCTATTACAATGTAAATATTGTTTTAAAATTTTAAATTATTCAATTGTTCAATATGTAGTAGAAAGTTGCAATCATTTTTATCATTTTATATTTTAAATGGTTTGAACTAATTTTATTGAAAACTGCACAGTGATTTTATGATACAGTGTGGAAAAGAAATATTTTAATATTAACAATTAGCAAAAATAACAATGCAGCAGCAGATAAATGAGAAGTTTCAGCATTAGTGTTCCTCATTTACAGATTTAGTATGGAGGTAAACTACATTAGATGTTCCAACATGAAAAGATTTTCTCAGACATTTTATTGTTGTTTTCAAATTGCCATTTAACGTACAGCCATGGATCAGTACCTTTCCTTTTGTGGAAGGGAATTCAGTTTGGTTTTTAGCAAATAAGCTGGTATAGAAGAAAGGTCTAAGAAGTGACATTCCCTGGAACAGGTGATTGTCCAGTAAAGTTTGCTGCTTCCACCATTTTATTTTGTGTAAAAACAAAAAAGAAAAAAAGAAAAACTACAAGTAAGTGAGTGTCATATCTAGTTTGACATTTAGCCACTGGACTACAGCAGCTGCTGTACTAAAGGCTAATCCTGGTTCTTTAAAACTAAAAGGTCTGTCATGATATCACGGTAACTTAACTTGTGAAATAAATATGTCCAGCTTGTAATAGATGTAGCATAATTATCATCTGGAATCAACTAATTTAATTATATTCCTAAATGATATAAGACAAATAAGTAGACTTGTCATCTCATCTCAAATGTCCTGATATATATATAGATAAATAGAGAGAAAGTATTATTACTATTATCATTATTATGCATATACAAGAGTGACTGCTAATCTCTAAAGATAACTGTAATTAAATTGGCTGATTATTCCCATTGTGGATAATGCCAATGTGGCTGCTAAGCACTTAAGGCACAATTGGAATTGCCTGAAAGAACATATTTAGATTATCACTTTGGATTGATTTATATTTTTAAATTAAACTGATCAGAAAGATAAATCTATAGACATTCTTAAAGGACTGTGATTATATTAATATTTTTGTAGAATACAAATTAATATTGCCATCAAATTTCCAGTATGATCCTGGCCACCACCAGCACCACCTCTCTATATTGGTTTGAAAAAAAGAAAGTTTGCAAAATGCTCCTTAGGTAATTAGCCCTGATGTCTGTTTCTAGCTGTAAATATGTTTCTTAACCCCAGAGAATAACAGCTTGTTACCTTCAGATGAGGTGTAAGACACTTCCAGGGGATGCAGGAAAGGCCATGGTACTGCCAAAAACAGTAAGAATTCTGATGGGAATACAACTCATTTTGTTGAAGATCACCACAAAGAGAGAACAAAAACGCACATATAACAGGGATTTCATCATAAAAGAAATGGTGAAATACCTGGCAAAGCAAATTCAGAAAGGTGCAATTCCTGGAACATATATGACCTACTCCATTAGTAATAGACTATAAAAATTGTATTACCTCTGTAGTATTGTGTGTGTGTGTGTGTGTGTGTGTGTGTGTGTGTGTGTGTGTGTCTGCGCCTTCAAGTCTCCAGTCAAGTTATGGTGACCCCTATGAATTCCATAGGGTCTTCTTAGGCAAGGAATACTCAGAGGTGGGTTTTGCCAGTTCCTTCCTCTGAAATATAGCTGACAGCATCTGTTATTCATTGGCAGTTTCTCATTTAAGCACTAACCATGGCTAACTCTTCTTAGCTTCCAAGATCAGTCAGGATCTGCTGCCTTTAAAACACTGTTATTGTTGTGTGCCTTCAAGTTGTTTCCAACTCACAGCGACCTTAAGGACAACCTATCAAGGGGTTTTCTTGATAAAATTTGTTCAGAGTGTTCAAAGCCTTTGCCTTTCTCTGAGGCTGAGAGAATGTGATTTCTCCAAGATTATCCAGTGGGTTTCCATGGCCATGTGGGGCTTCGAACCCTGCTGCTCAGAGTCATAGTCTAACACTCAAACCACTAAACCACGCTGGCTGTCTGCAATACTATTTATTCAGTACAATGTAAAAATTAAAATATTTCCCAATGTTGTTGATATCACACCTATATCAGTCTCTACAGTGTTGTTTTCTCAGTATTTACTTTTCCAAGTATGGTTAAATAGTTATGCAAGAAGGTCAGTACAAATGACCTTTTCCTTATTTACATATAATGAGAATTTTGACAATTCTACTTTCAAAGCAAGAAGAAACATTCCAGTGCTGAGAACATATTCCCCTGAATGCTTAAGTGTGACAGATGCCGTCATAGTAATTGCCAATCAGCCTATATACAACAGCTGAAAACACAAAATACATCACTTTGATCTCCTTGACTCAAAATGCATTTCCCAATCATGAGATCTGCACCATTTACAGAAGGTGTCCATCCTGTAGCTAAATTGGAAAATATATATTTAGTTAAACTTGCCCCCCCCCAAAAAAACTGTTCATAAACACAAGTGCTGCAGCTTACATAAAATAATCTAAAGTCCAATATGCCCAAAAGTAAGCATTCATTTTCCCCTTGCTCAACAGAAGCTTAGCTTTGGAAAATGTCTCAACTTCCCAAAGGACATAGGTCATCACAAATGCACACTTAATTTAGTCCTACTGCTAATTTGGTAAATGAGTGCCTCATTTAATCAGTGTGTTGAAAAGTAAGGTATGTATAAAATTCCATCTGGATTTTTTTTAAAAAATATGTGGGAAGCAGCTTACTTACATTTTGCAGGCAGGTCATAGCCACAAGTGATTTTTGCTTGTCCAGTTTCACAGCCACTCAGATTGCGACATTCAGCAACCAGACAGGGCCCAGCTGCTCTATGTATACAGCCATCAACTAAAAAAGAAAAAGAAATAGAGGGATATCTATTTTATTTTATTGGAAAAGATAAAGACAGAATTGTGCACTGGTTTCAGAGAGGTGAGGAACAGAAAAACAAGTCTCCTTCAAACTTAAATAAACTTTGGGCACTATCCAAAACCCAGCAGTTTTTGTCAAAGTATGTAAGGGTGTGTGTTTTTATATAAAATAAACCAACAGCAGGTTTTGTCCATCTCCTCCTTCCTTGAATAAGGATGGGAGGATCACTTCTGGTTGAACTAGTGGCAACTGCAGTGGCATTTGCTAAAGAAATGCCCAGTGGCAACAATGCTGTGTTCCAATATAAATGTTGCTCCTGAGATATTTTTCGAAAAAGGGGGGTGGTGACCCTTACAGGTCAAAATATTTTGTCTTGTTTAAAAGGTTTTGCAGGCAAAAGGGGAAGCCAAAACCATTTACCACCCCATCTTAACAAATGGTTGAATTTGCTCCTTCAATGAAAAGTAATTGTTTTCATATGCCCTCCAACAGACAGAAAGACACATACACACATAGGTACATCGATTTGCAAAAGTGAGGGGAGAAATATTCAGCCTTGAATTGGGACAAACAGATACAAGTGTTTACAATTATTGTTGGGAATGGATGCATACAAAAATAAAAAGATGCCGAGGAGAAAAAAAAAGGAATTTTCACAACACAATGCTGTCATGTTAATGTTGCTGATTATTTACTTAGCCACTTGCCAAATGAGAAGAAAATTTGGTTCTGCTATTATTAAACAGAGTGAAAATGAAGGCATAATTCAGTATTACTTTGTAGATACTATCTAATCCCTTTGGGTAAGTTGGCTAGATATTAAATGCTAGAAATGAATTAAATAAATAAAATAATTTCACTAGATTGCTTAGTACTTCCCATAACATAAAATCTTTTAATACAAAACAATTTGCACATCACAACAGCATCTCTCCCTGAACTTCATTCACATTACTACTGTAGTATTCCAAACATTTAATCATTTATATCATAACAGCTGCAATTGTAATATCAGCTGAAAGTTACTGGTGCAATTCTTAACACTTATTGCCCTCAAGAGCCTAAAAGAAAATATTAGCTGTGGAAAAATAGCTGAACAGAAAAAAAAATTGGAAAGCCTTTTTTATCCTAATCACAAGCAATAGGAGGATTTTTTTTTCCTTCTTCTCCCACAAATACAGTTTGGAAAATAAAAATTAAAACAATTAAAACAACATAGTGATTATTCCTAGTCACTACATCACTGACAGTACAAATACTTTACTACTAGAAACCTGCAGTCCCCATATGTTCCCTTCATATAATATTATGGTAAGGCATAAGAAGTAGCAGAATATGCCCACAATTTTCTAGTACTGACAATATTTATGTAAACAAAGGAATTGAGCCTTATGGAATTGTTACATTCATAAGCGTGAGGTGAAATGTGAATTTCCTGGCTTTTTCAGGTTGGATCTTGAGTCCAATGGATCTATGGACTGTCTCTTGGGACCCTAGTGGTCTTCCTATCCCCCTTATGCACTGATGTTAGGAGGCAAAGGGGCTGATCAGGTAGGATCCACCATGGATCTTCTTCTTTATGTATTCAGTTCAGTTCAGGTTCCCATCCTTCTCACTCCCAGTTTTTAATCTTACCAGCTCCAGCCTCCAGGTACTCCATTTGTCACCCTTACACAATGCCTCAAAGGAGCTGACTTGACATCCAGGCTTTTTGTGAAAAAGAGAATATGGCTGCTGTCACCTATGTGAGCAAGGTAACTCTCAATACTTCAAATGCAAAAGGGGGATGCACTTACTGGCTTCTTCCCAAGCCTCCCTTCAACTGTACAGAGAACCTGAGAGGCATTCACTATGAAAAATGTTTAAGAATGGGCACTGACATACTTAGAAGATTATCGCACAAAGCTTCCCTCCCAATATAGCTGTGGCTTTTTAAACACCCGACACAGTAACGATTCTTTTCAAATTACTACGTAATTGTGAACTGATAGCAGGTTGTCGATGCATCTTATTGCACTAATGTTTCATTTATTCGTCAGCTATCCAAGATTAAATAAGTAAGTAAGTAAGTAGTCTAGCCTTCATTGGCGTGTGTGCAGTGAAACCAGTTTAAATCCCCTTCTCTCTGAATTACCTTGGAATGACCTATGGCACATACTTCAATAAGCGGTTAATTGTGGGTTTGGCAGCTATTCATGGGATTTCCCCATTCATTAAAAGCAGCGGCAGAAGCACTGGTTGAGTACAGGATACCTACTGCCTAGCCATGATGTTGTGTGGTAGGATCAGGCAATTACAGTTACAATCCTGCTTCTATCCCACTATTTAAGAACAGTGTGATAATCTCTTTAGACACTGCCAGACATCTGTGCCACAGCCTTTTAGGCTTTTAGTATAGGTGTACATGGAACATCTTTTTCATTTGGACCCAGAAAATTTGCTGAGGCAGAATGGTATTGAACAACATGTTTACACATTTTTAAATCCAACAGAGACTTGGAGAAAATCTACATAACGGAATTTGACAACATTTCATGTACAAGAGAAGAATATACTTTAATCACTTGGACAGTTTTACTCACTGCAGATCTAACTTTCCATGGTTCTTCCTAATATGTTCAGCCCTAGATGAAGGTACAATGGGATACATATAGTTTTATGTAATCAAAGTTTTAAATATTAAAAAAATCCCTAATTGTTAAATTAAATTATGTGTGCAGATGGAGATCACTCTCTCCCACAAGCAAATCTGCTCCTCCCCAGAAGAGGACACAAAATTTGTACATACTAATTTATATGTACAAGTGCAGTACAATAAATAAAGGAAGACAAACCAGTTCCTTTCTCATTTAGATTACCCTAGATTCTTCTATTAATTTTCATCTCATTCCAGAGCACCCCAGCCAGTGGCATCTGGTAAGTGTCCATCTGATTTACTAACATCTATTCTCAATCAAAACATCCTCAATCCAGAAAAAAGATTGTTTTGTTTTGCTATATGTAGCCACAAAAGGATCTTAAGAGCAGAGTCCAAGAATGGACTAGGCACTCATTTGCAGTGAAGCTTATATCCCATACTTCTTCCCAAATGCATATATATATATATATATATATAGAGAGAGAGAGAGAGAGAGAGAGAGAGAGAGATATGAGTCATTGTGGGCCGCACAGATGACAGATAAAACAGGATTGTTATTTTTTATAAAGCAAGATGCCTGATTATTAAAATTCTAGTAACAATTTTTGGTACCCATTACTAAAATAGGAAGGAACTCAATATTCTTATCACTATGCCTCCCTCTGTCTCCCATAACTCTCCATAAACAAAAATGTATCAGTGATACCTTTATTGGCCAATAAAGGTATCACTGATGGATTTTTGTTTGAATTTGCTAAATGGCTAACACAGCTCCCCCTGCATGTTCTCCATAAACAAATTTCTTGCTTTCTCATCATTGGAACACTAGCCTCTTTATTACTGCAGCTGTTTATTATTACTGTATTGGGTATTCTGGTACTTGAAGATTATCTCTAACACAAACAGAAAAACAGATACAGTGGCATAAAAATGCTAATTAACAATTCTTTCTATATGTATGTTGGAATATGTATAATAAAAATATGTGCGTCCCTTTTGCTGACCTCCTAATCACTTACACATACTCCAACATCTCACAGATAAAACCGGAAGACATGTGGTCAAGCAACATCAGAGTGTGGTCAAGATGGCTCAAATTATACATAGGAAGAACAGCAAGCTAGGAGAGGCTGCAAGAGCTTAAGTCTACTAGGAAGAGCAAGTTTCCACCCTCTCCTGTCCTCTCCCCATTGCTGAGTTAAGTGAATGCAAAATATTTTTGCACTTTGAACTCAGTTTGAGCAATTGAAGCAAGCTGGGGACAAAGGCGAAAATGGGAGGAGAGGAAAACTTTTTTGGTTAACTGCCATCAAGTAAGCTTCGAGCTATGGCAGCCCTATGAAGGATAGAGCTCCAAGCAGGGTGAGCAGATGTCATAACTACAAAGGAGGAGACTCAAGAAAAATGTAGGATATTGCAAAATAAAAGCTAAAAATGCTAATATAAGCATAAATCCATGCTTCTTAGTCATGCTCAAAATGAAGGACATTTT